ATTTAATTAATGTTGCGTGTATAATGTATATGGCAACATAAATGATGATACTTACCCAGTGGTGGGTACTGAGAGAAGCTCTCCACACACATGGGCTTGCCAGGGATCATCTCAACAATGGCAGCATCTCCTGATTTGAGAGCCTTGGGGTTGTCCTCAAGTTTCTTACCAGAACGACGGTCAATCTTCTCCTTGAGCTCAGCAAACTTGCAGGCAATGTGAGCAGTGTGGCAGTCCAGCACTGGGGCATAGCCCTGAGAGATCTGACCAGGGTGGTTCAGGATGATGACCTACGAAAAAGAGATGATAAAGTACCTGATATTACGAAGATCATGCAGATAACATTCTATTATTTATATCTAACCTGAGCTGTGAAGTTTGCAGCCGCCTGAGGGGGGTCGTTCTTGCTGTCTCCAGCCACGTTACCACGGCGGATGTCCTTGACAGACACGTTCTTAACGTTAAAGCCAACATTGTCACCGGGGAGAGCCTCGGCAAGAGACTCATGGTGCATCTCAACAGACTTGACCTCAGTGGTCACGTTAGCAGGGGCAAAGGTCACAACCATACCAGCCTTCAGAGTTCCAGTCTCAACACGTCCAACAGGCACAGTTCCAATACCTGAGAGAAACATGCAGAGAATATTTGAGTGACAAACTACATAACATTTATGGTTTCTCATTAGAGAAATTTGTGAATGAGGTTGGAGGCCATATTGTTATTGTTAACGAAAACTAAAACTAAAAGTAAACACTTTCGTTAAGTGAAATGAAAATAAAAATGCTGACATAAAATTAAATTTCATTACTCCCAAATTAACTAAAATAAACTAAACAGTCTGCAAATTATTTTTATGATATACTTTATAATTTGAAGCTTTTACAAACTGTCTTCATTAAACATTAAAATGCTGTTTTATGATTTACTGTATTGCCCGTGGAGTTTTAAGATTTTATTCATTTACACGACTTCTCGAGGTCTAGAAATCACACTTATAAAATGAGTCTCTCGTATTTACAGGTATTCAAGGTTCTTCAAAAAAAACACAAAAAAAACAAGAAATATAGTATAGCTTATGTAGCTTTTTAATGTTTGTTTTGTCTTATTTTGTCATCTTGATGCCTTTTGGAAGTTTTCTTAGGCCCTGTTTGAGAATCACTGCTCTAGCAATAACACTAGACTGTACTGAGAACATTTAAGCATTTTTGACTTCTACCAGTTGCTGCATTAACTATGGCAGCCCTAAAATACTAAAACTGATGTAATAACTAAAAATGAAACTAGAAAACAAGCTAAAAAGAAAACTACAAATTCAACACCAAAGACAAGTAAAGACATTTAAATACATCAAAAAATTAATTAATTTAAAATTCAAATCTAGAATAATCCTGGATGGTGGTAAATGCTCACCTCCAATCTTATACACATCCTGCAGAGGCAAACGAAGAGGCTTGTCAAAGGGCCGACTGGGAGGTAGGATGGAGTCCAGGGCCTCGAGAAGAGTAACGCCACTGGCAGCACCTTCCTTCCTCTCAATTTTCCATCCTTTGAACCAGCTCATCTATTATCCATAAACAAAATACAAAACAAAAAGCACGAACAATCGCAATGATCACAAACCCTAAAAAAAAACCATCCACAGCCCAGAAAAAAAGCAGATGCTGACGTTTGTGCTGGGCTCCAGCATGTTGTCCCCATGCCATCCGGAAATTGGGACGAAGGCAACAGTGGCAGGGTTGTAGCCGATCTTCTTAATGTAGGCGCTGACTTCCTTGGTGATTTCCTCAAAACGCTTCTGGCTGTAGGGGGGCTCGGTGGAGTCCATCTTGTTGACTCCAACAATAAGCTGTTTGACTCCCAGGGTGTAGGCAAGCAGGGCATGCTCACGGGTCTGTCCGTTCTTGGAGATACCGGCCTCGAACTCACCAACACCGGCAGCGACAATCAGCACGGCACAGTCAGCCTAGGAGGAATGAAAAAAAATCACCACATTTAAAATTTAAACAATAATAATGCAACAACAAAAATCATTATGCACAGTAACCTGTGATAGATTTGTTGAAATACAAAAACACTCCTACCTGAGAGGTACCAGTGATCATGTTCTTGATGAAGTCTCTGTGCCCAGGGGCATCAATGATAGTGACATAGTACTTGCTAGTCTCAAATTTCCAGAGAGAAATATCAATGGTGATACCACGCTCCCGCTCGGCCTTCAGTTTGTCCAACACCCAGGCATACTTGAAGGAGCCCTTGCCCATCTTGATTCAGAGAAATATTCCAAAGCATATTTGAGATGTTTGTGAGACCAAATGGACAAAATGATCAAATATAAATAAAATATAGTAATATAGAAATAGCTTAGATTAGTTTAACATCTTTTCAAACATAACATCTATACGTGATGCATTAATGGGACTGTTTTAATTATCATAATTCTCTACATTTCATAAATGCTTATATTCTAACAAAATTGCAAGCGTATATGCTCAGTTTGGGCATTTAGAACAGGGTGATCCCAATACAGCTAGACTGTAGATGTCGCGCACAACACATGGTGTTTAAAAAGACACGCCCAGAATATACTTGTCATCGAGATACATTAGTCATCGGAAGTCACCCGGGCTGTGATGAAGTACCTCAGCGGCTTCTTTCTCAAACTTCTCGATGGTTCTCTTATCGATGCCTCCACATTTGTAGATGAGATGTCCGGTGGTGGTGGACTTGCCAGAATCGACGTGGCCGATAACCACGATGTTAATATGAATCTTTTCCTTACCCATTTTGTAAATTTACTGTGGAAAGACATTGCTGGATTCAGTTTCGCCAGCATAAACATTATCCTGTGTTCTGTCGATTTGTGCTACCCTGTCAGACTTTGCTACCTCCCATTAAAACAGTGGGTAGTACAATTTGACAACGAAAAAATGTTACCTGTAAAATCATGGTTTATCAACGTCTACACCTACCCCAACCCTAAACCTACCCTTACAGTAATTGTGTTATATTCCTGTTTGGGACTAGAAGGGATACAGCTACAGGAACCCAACAATAAATATTTTTCTACCTATTAGATTGTGTTTTATCAAAGTCTACACCTACCCCAACCCTAAATCTACCCTTACAGTAATGTAGATACATTAAAAATTGTTCAGCGTGAGAAAAAGGACGCAATACTGATGTGCGCATGCGCAGTAAACCC